GTGCATGGACAACAAGGTGTTCCAGGTGCTGCCCAATGCGAAGTACAGGAAGGTGGCGGCAAAGCGCAAGGTTCGCGGGGTGTACAGGAAGCGCAAGCGGGTCTTCTCCGTGGGCCACGTCAAGCCGAGCAACCCTAAGGTTCTCGGGCTGGCGCAAATCGGAGACCGCGCCGCGGCCACTCAGCGCCAGGCCAGTGGCCGACGGCGCGCTCTGATTTGGCTCGCCCCCAGGTTCTTGAAGCAGAGTTCGGGCAAGGGCTCCGTGACCATCGCGTGCGCCATCGGCGCGGGCAAGGTGTTGATGTGGCACCAGGTGGTCGGCAGGTGGAACGCCGCAGCCGCGGGGCGAATGTACTCGGGGGCGCTCCAGCCCGCTTTGAAGAGGGCCTACCCTTCCGTGCGCGGCAAGTTCCGCGTCATGGAAGACAACTACCCCACGGGCTACAAATCTCGCTCGGGCATGGCGGCGAAGAAGTCCGCTGGCATCCAGACGTTGGACTTGCCGAAGCGGTCCCCTGATCTGATGCCGCTTGATTTCGCCTTCTGGGCCAATCTGAACAAGCGCATGAGGGGGCAGGAGAAGGACTGGCCCGCGAGCTAGACGGAGACGCGGGCGCAGTACCTGGCCCGGCTGCGCCGCACGGCGTTGGCGACGCCTTCTGAGTACATCCACAGCATCATGGGCAGCCTGCACAAGCGCTGCGGCTTGTTGGTCGAGGCGAAGGGCGGCCAATTCGCCGAGGGCGGTGGGAACTGAGCGCGCGCGCGGTTTCGTCGGGCGGCCGCGGCGCGATTCGCGGCGGGCCAGGGCGGCGGGCGACCGCGGCGCAGACCGCAGCGGGCCGGGGCGGCGGGCGGCCCGTAGCGGCCCGCGCCTCGGTTGACCCGCGCGAGCGACGTGGGGCGCGGGAAGGGCGCCAGTCGCGGTCCACGATCAAGACCAATCCGTGCGTCCACCGCCCTTGCGGCTACAGGGCCAGCAGACGTAGTCGAAAGTACTTGATCTTGGCATTATGATTCTGTCCGCCGAGGCCCCCCAGGCGCCAGCGCCCTGGCGGCCCCAGAGAGCCCCTCGCACGAGACATGCAGCAAAAGACATAGTGAACCAACAGTGAACCAACAGTGAACCAACAGTGAACCAACAGTGAACCTTCGTAAAAACCATAGTGAACCTCGAATTCGATTAAAAAAGAGTAGGGAATTTTTCTTTTTTATATAAAAATGGAGGTTCACTATGTAATTGCCATGGTTCACTGTTGGTTCACTGTTGGTTCACTGATGGTTCACTGTAGGTTCAGTAGGAGTTTTATGCATGTTTGCACATGTCCAACAATGCCGCGCGAGCGGCATCCATGGACAGGATCCGCCGACCCCGCCCAGAGGTGCAGGGGGCGCGCCAGGCGCGCCAAGTGCACCGCGTGCGACAGGTGCGCGGCACGCGACAGGTGGGCCACACTCGCCAGGTGAACGGGGCGCGCCCAAGTGCGACAGGTGCGCAGACGACGCCAGGTGCAACGAGCTCCCCAACTGAGCAGCCAGGCGGCGGTTTACAATGCCCCCGAAGACCCCGACGGTCCGCATTGCGTTTTTCTCTGTAGCCTGTCGGCTCAGCGGGGCGGGGGCTGGCCCTGGCCGGGTCGCGCCGGGGGATGGCGCTCTCGGTGGACAGGCCAGAGAAGCGCCGCAGGCTCGTGGGGAGGCAGAGCCAGCAGACGGCGCTCCTCGAGCACGTCGTCGGCGAGGAGAACAGGAACGCCTCGCGGGAGGTCTACTTGGTGACTCTGCCGCACACGGACAAGGGGGGTCTCAGAGCGCCAGCGGCTTTCTCGCGGGAGGAGGTCCGCGACGCTTTCCTGGATTGCTGCGGCGCTCCGGACGCCGACCCCGCGTGGCTCGCAAGCCGCCGCGGGCAGGGGGCCGCGCCCGTCGGGGTCAAGAAGCTGGTGGTATTCAAAGAATACCACGCGCCAGTGGCAGGCGTCCGGCGGGCGCACTACCACGTGGCATTGCACCTGGGCAAGAAGAGCAAGTTCCTGACCGTGAAGCGGGCCTTGCTCAACAGGTACCAACTCGCCTCTCACTGGTCCTGCAGCCACGACGGGCACAGGTCGGCCGTCGGGCACTGCGCGAACGCGACGCCCAAGAAGCCGCGGGGCGCCCTGGACGTTGACTACTTGGCTTGGCCCGCGGACCACCCGCCGCTGTCCGCGGCGAAGAGGGAGCCGACGACCGCCCGCGCCTTGGAGAAGCGCAGGACCGCGCGGGAGCAGGTCGAGGGCGAGAAGGGGAAGCCAGAGCCTCGCGTCGAGGAGGTGGACCTGTGGCCGATAGTGGTCAGGTCTGGGATCCGGAATACTCCGGACGACCCCCACGCAGTGCGCAAGTTGATGGCGTACGCTAAGACGTCCTGCTCGCACAAGGTGGTTGCCTGGATGTTCAAGAACGAGCACGTGCTGGAGAAGATCATCGACAAGGCCTGGGCGCGGGAGAACGTGGACAGCTTCCTCGAAGACGCAACGAAACCCGTCATGCAACAGTTCAAGGAGGCCTTGCGGACGCCTTGCGTTTGCGGCGGCCGCTGGTTGCACCACGTCCGCGAAAGCCTGTCGATGAATCGCATCGACGTCCCCGACCTGTGCAGCAGCATCTTGATTTCCCTGAAGCACGGTCGGTCCGAGGCGGCCCCGGTGGTCACCTTGGCTGGGCGCTTCGGCGGAGAGGGGAAGTCTCTTCTCTTCTCGGCGGTTCGGCCGCTGTTCGGCGGTGAGCACGTGCAGGAGAGGCCAGGCGGTGGGCAGTTTTGCCTCCACGGCTTGGACAAGGCCATGGCCGCGGTGCTGGACGAGTGGATGTTCATCGATGAGGACCTCCGCCTGTCCATCCAGCTCCTGTGGCTGGAGGGCAAGCCCGTGCCCATCACCATGCCCCAGAACCAGCACGTCGGGCACAAGGTGTACATGGGGTCCGCCCCGATTTTGGTCACCTGCCCCGAGACGGCGCTGGCGGGCCTCTCGTCCGAGTCGTCGCAGCGCCCGCAGGGGCTGGCTGGCATGCTGCTCCGGCGGCTGAAACTGTACTTATTCACTGTGCCGATTCCCAAGCCGCCGGCCCCGAAGCTAGTGCCGTGCCCGCGCTGTTTCTCGACCCTCGTCACAAGCGAGGCTCTTAAGTTCAAGCCCAAGTAGTCCTGCCGCGTGCGATTGGGGTCGCTGCGCGCAGACATCATCACCATCATCGCCATCATCACTGTCGCCATTATCGTCGTTGCCACACCTCGTTGCCCCATCGGGAACTCCATGGAAGGCCCCGATGGCTGACTCCGCATGCCGCGCCCCGACAATTTCGGCAGACCCCTAGAGCGTTGCACGACCGCCACGGGCACGTCGTGCTTCTGGCCCGGCACGACTCCGACCATCACCGTCGACGATGCCAGTGCTGTCGCCTCTGGGCCCGTCCGTCAGTCCGCGTGGGGCCTCTTTGGGGGTCGTCTTGGAGCCCCCGTGGATCTTCGTAAGGCCCCCCTGGAGGCCCTCTCGGGCGAGGTCTACGACAGAGGCCCCCCGCTGCATTCCATTAAATTCCATTCACTCCCAACTCCTCCGCAGGCCCCCCACTCCTTCCCAGTCCTCGCCACTCCCCTGCAGTCGTCCGCACCCCACCGCACTCCGCCAACAAAAAATCCGAAACCTCTCATTCCTCCACGCCCCTCCGCACTATTCCCAACTGCTCCACGCCCTTCCGCACTCCACCCGGAACCTCCGCAACCGCCCCACTCCCCCCCACCCCTCCGCACTCCTCCCGAACCTTCCGCAACCGACCCATTCCCCCAGACCCCTCCACAATCTTCCCAGAAACTCCGCAATCCTGCCATTCTTCTCACCCCTCCGCACTCTTCCCGAACATCCGCAACTCTCCCATTCCTCCACACCTCGCCGCATTCTTCCCAAAACCTCCGCAAGTCTCCCATTCCCCCACATTCCTCCGCACTCCTCCCGAAACCTCCGGAGCCCTTCGAATTCGTTCCGCCCCTCCGCACTCCTCCCGAACATCCGCGATCCGTCCCATTCCCCCCCACCCTAGGATGACCTCAATACTCCCTACAGTGCGCGACAGTTTCCTCCCAAACCTTCCGCAACCGCCCCAGTCCTCCACACCCCTCCGAACTCTTCCCGAAACCTCCGCAATCCTGCCAGTCTCTCCACCCCTCCGCACTTTTCCCGAACATCCGCAACTCTACCATCTCTCCACATCCCTCCGCACTCCTCCCACTCCGCAACCCTCCCAGTCCCCCACCATCGCCGCGAAGCTGCCCGAAACCTCCGCCCTGTCCTTCTTCTCCATCCCTCCGCACTCTCAGCATCCGCACCTCCCGCATTCCTACAGGCCCCCTCCGCACTCCTCCCGAAACCTCCACAACCGTCCCATTCCTCCACATCCCTCCGCACTCGCCCCGAAACCTCCGGAGCCCTTCCATATCTCACCACTCCCCCGCACTCCTCCTGGGACATCCGCACATATCCGCACCTCCCCCATTCCTCCACACCCCTCCGCACTCCTCCCGAAACTTCCGCAACCCTCCCGTGCCTCCACACCCCCTCGCACTCCTCCCAAACCTTGTGAAACCGTCCCATTCCTCCCCACTCCTCCGCACACCTCCCGAAAGAGACCTCCGCAACCCTCCCATTCCTCCACGTCCTTCCGCACTCCTCCCGACACCTTCGCAACCCTTTCATCCTTCTACATCCCTCCGCACTCCTCCCAAACCTTCTGCAACCGCCCCATTCCCCCCCACCCCTTCCGCACTCCTCCCGAAAGAGATTTCCTCCACCCTCCCATTCCTCCCCACCCATCCGCACTCCCCCCGAAACCTCCGCAACCCTCCCAGTCCTCCCCACGCCTCCGCACTCCTTCCTCACCTCCCACAACCGTCACATTTCCCCTCAACCCTCCGCACTCCTCCCAATCCTCTGGGGTTCTCCCATTCCTCCAGACCCCTCCGCACTCCTCCTGAAACGTCTCACCCCTTGCCCCAGCGTCTTACGCCCAGGAGCGGAACCTCCATCTTCCTCCTATTCCTTCTCCTCGTTCTCCTCACCCCCTCCTCCCTCCTGTTCCTCATTCCTCCTTGAGGGTTGTGGGTGATGATGATGCTGCTGCTGATGATGATGCTGATACTGATGGTGATGATAATGATAATGATGATAATGATGATGATGATGATGATGATGATGATGATGATGATGGTGATGATGGTGGAGATGATGGTGGAGATGATGCCGCCGATGAGGGCGATTGTGATTGTAATGCTGACGTTTGTGGCATCTGTCCGGTCTCCTCCTCTCCCTCCTCCCTACTCCCACCTGCAAAACAAGATGGGGGACCGTACATGGACATTATATTCGAACCCTGTGGCCCAAGATGCCCCCCCGAACCCCCGAATTTAATATTGATGGCGTGGCGACGGGGGGGGCGTGAGTGGACAGAAATATTCGAACCCCAAAGCACCGCCTTTGCTGAGATCAACATTGATGTCGGGGGCGCGGGGGTGATTCAGAATCTCCCTCGAATGTGTGAGGGTTCGAATATATTGTCCATCTACTGTCCATGGCAAGGTTTGTGTAGTTCTGCACATTGCTCAAAGCGACCCTCATAAATCCAAGATCCCATGACTTGGGGGAGAAGGTGGAGGAGGAAGCGAAGGATGAGGAGGATCAGGATCAGGATGAGGAGGAAGAGGAGGATGGGGATGAGGATGAGGATGCGGAGGACAAGAAACAGTAGTGAGAGACAGGAGGAATGAGAAGGATGAGGATGGGAGGTGGTGGGGAGGAGGATCAAGCGGTGGAGCGTGGAGGATTTCTAAGCAGGTGCGGGAGGAGTGAATCAGAGGAGGCAGGGACGAAGAGGCGATGGGAGGGGAAGAGAGGGCATGGGGAGGAGGGGAGGGGAGGGGAAGGGAACGGGGAGGGGAGGGGATCGGAGGGGGCCGAAAGAGGGATGGAAGGAGACGGTCCTGTGAAGGGCTGCCTTGGGCCGTCCTGGAGGCCTCGGAGGCCCCATGGATCCCCGGAGCTGCGGGAAGTTCGATTTTGCCTGCCCAGGGTTACATGTTGCTGTCGTCCCACCGTCCACAACAGACATCGGGTGCATTATCGAAAGCTGGAGACGGTCCTGTGGAGGGCTGCCTTGAGCCATCCTGAGGCCTCCGAGGCCCCATCGTTCCCCAGGCTGCGAACGGGTCGGTTTATTCCTACCCAGGGTGATATAGTCAGCGCATACACATGATTACGATTTTTTCTCTGCACATGCTGTTCATTCGTTCGCCGTCCTTGGGTCCTGGGTTACCACGCTCCCTTCATCGTCGCCATGGCAGATGGATAGGCGCTTGCTCGTGATATTGATGGGGGCGTTGTCTGGTAGGCTTTCAGGAAAGCAGCTGGCGAGGCAGCCAACAAGGCAGCCAACGAAGCAGCCTACGAGGCACCCAGCGAGGCGGCCAACGAGGCCTCCGACGAGGCAGCCCGCGGGGCAGCCAAAAAACAGCCGTCGAGGCAACTGGCGAAGCAGCCAGCGAGGCGGCCAACGAGGTAGCCCACGAGGCACGAGGCAGCCAACGAGGTAGCCCACGAGGCAGCCAGCCAGGCAGCGAGGCGGTCGACAGGGCAGCCAGCAAGGCAACCAACGAGGCCACCGACACAGCACCCGGCAAGGCAACCAACGAGGCAGCCAACGAGACAACCAACGAGGCAGCCAACGAGACAACCAACGAGGCAGCCAACGAGACAACCAACGAGGCAGCCAACGAGACAGCCAACAAAGCAGCCAACGAGGCAGCCATCGAGGCAGCCAGCAAGGCAGCCAACAGGCAGCCGAGCAGGCAGGCCACCAGGAACCAGGCAGCCAACGATACAGCCACAGGGCAGCCGACGAAGCAGCAGCGAGGGGGGATCCCAAAATGGATCCCCCTTGCGCACCTGCGCGCGCATGTCGCGCAGATCTAGACCATTTTCACGGACAGAAGCCACCCGAACCTATGGCGCTACTAATGGAAAAAAGGGCATCCGAGATATAGGATGCCCTCGCTCACTGGACTGCATCCATTTTCAGGATGCCCCCGTTGGAAGGATGACCGCAGCGCTTTCTGGACCGAGCGCATTTGGCCCGTCGTTGTCTCCACAGCCGGAGAATGTCGCCGAGTATCTGCCGACGAGCACGTCGCAATGCTGCCGACGAGCACGTCGCAATGCGCCGCTTGCATGACGGCGGCATGGGCGTCAAGAGGATCGCCGCGGCCTTGAGCCGCTCCACGGACACCGTCTCGAAGCATTTGTTCAAAAAGAACACGACCAAGAAGTCCAAGGGCCGCCCGAAGCATTCCATCCGCACCCCCAAAGGGTTTCTCGCTGCCCAGCGCGCTTACAAGAAGCTTCTGAAGTCCTCGGGCGGCACAAAGGAAGTGACGGCAGCCATGCTGAAGTCCGAGATGAAGTTGAAATGCGACATCAAGACAGTGCGCCGCGCGTTTGCTGAGAATGGCTACCAGTTCCGCCCGCTGTACGAGAAGCCTGACCTTTCGGATGGGGACAAGAAGGAGCGCCTGCAGTGGGCCCGCGAGCACAAGCACCGGAGCCCCAGGCAGTGGTCACAGTACGTCCACGCGTGCATGGACAACAAGGTGTTCCAGGTGCTGCCCAATGCGAAGTACAGGAAGGTGGCGGCAAAGCGCAAGGTTCGCGGGGTGTACAGGAAGCGCAAGCGGGACTTCTCCGTGGGCCACGTCAAGCCGAGCAACCCTAAGGTTCTCGGGCTGGCGCAAATCGGAGACCGCGCCGAGGCCACTCAGCGCCAGGCCAGTGGCCGACGGCGCGCTCTGATTTGGCTCGCCCCCAGGTTCTGAAGCAGAGTTCGGGCAAGGGCTCCGTGACCATCGCGTGCGCCATCGGCGCGGGCAAGGTGTTGATGTGGCACCAGGTGGTCGGCAGGTGGAACGCCGCAGCCGCGGGGCGAATGTACTCGGGGGCGCTCCAGCCCGCTTTGAAGAGGGCCTACCCTTCCGTGCGCGGCAAGTTCCGCGTCATGGAAGACAACGACCCCACGGGCTACAAATCTCGCTCGGGCATGGCGGCGAAGAAGTCCGCTGGCATCCAGACGTTGGACTTGCCGAAGCGGTCCCCTGATCTGATGCCGCTTGATTTCGCCTTCTGGGCCAATCTGAACAAGCGCATGAGGGGGCAGGAGAAGGACTGGCCCGCGAGCAAGACGGAGACGCGGGCGCAGTACCTGGCCCGGCTGCGCCGCACGGCGTTGGCGACGCCTTCTGAGTACATCCACAGCATCATGGGCAGCCTGCACAAGCGCTGCGGCTTGTTGGTCGAGGCGAAGGGCGGCCACTTCGCCGAGGGCGGTGGGAACTGAGCGCGCGCGCGGTTTCCTCGGGCGGCCGCGGCGCGAGTCGCGGCGGGCCCGCAGCGGGCCGGGGCGGCGGGCGGCCCGTCGCGGCCCGCGCCTCGGTTGACCCGCGCGAGCGACGTGGGGCGCGGGAAGGGAGCCAGTCGCGGTCCACGATCAAGACCAATCCGTGCGTCCACCGCCCTTGCGGCTACAGGACCAGCAGACGTAGTCGAAAGTACCTGATCTTGGCATTATGATTCTGTCCGCCGAGGCCCCCCAGGCGCCAGCGCCCTGGCGACCCCAGAGAGCCCCTCGCACGAGACATGCAGCAAAAAACATAGTGAACCAACAGTGAACCAACAGTGAACCAACAGTGAACCAACAGTGAACCTTCGTAAAAACCATAGTGAACCTCGAATTCTATTAAAAAAGAGTAGGGAATTTTTCTTTTTTATAAAAATGGAGGTTCACTATGTAATTTGCCATGGTTCACTGTTGGTTCACTGTTGGTTCACTGATGGTTCACTGTAGGTTCAGTAGGAGTTTTATGCATGTTTGCACATGTCCAACAATGCCGCGCGAGCGGCATCCATGGACAGGATCCGCCGACCCCGCCCAGAGGTGCAGGGGGCGCGCCAGGCGCGCCAAGTGCACCGCGTGCGACAGGTGCGCGGCACGCGACAGGTGGGCCACACGCGCCAGGTGAACGGGGCGCGCCCAAGTGCGACAGGTGCGCAGACGACGCCAGGTGCAACGAGCTCCCCAACTGAGCAGCCAGGCGGCGGTTTACGATGCCCCCGAAGACCCCGACGGTCCGCATTGCGTTTTTCTCTGTAGCCTGTCGGCTCAGCGGGGCGGGGGCTGGCCCTGGCCGGGTCGCGCCGGGGGATGGCGCTCTCGGTGGACAGGCCAGAGAAGCGCCGCAGGCTCGTGGGGAAGCAGAGCCAGCAGACGGCGCTCCTCGAGCACGTCGTCGGCGAGGAGAACAGGAACGCCTCGCGGGAGGTCTACTTGGTGACTCTGCCGCACACGGACAAGGAGGGTCTCAGAGCGCCAGCGGCTTTCTCGCGGGAGGAGGTCCGCGACGCTTTCCTGGATTGCTGCGGCGCTCCGGACGCCGACCCCGCGTGGCTCGCAAGCCACCGCGGGCAGGGGGCCGCGCCCGTCGGGGTCAAGAAGCTGGTGGTATTCAAAGAATACCACGCGCCAGTGGCAGGCGTCCGGCGGGCGCACTACCACGTGGCCTTGCACCTGGGCAAGAAGAGCAAGTTCCTGACCGTGAAGCGGGCCTTGCTCAACAGGTACCAACTCGCCTCTCACTGGTCCTGCAGCCACGACGGGTACTGGTCGGCCGTCGGGTACTGCGCGAACGCGACGCCCAAGAAGCCGCGGAGCGCCCTGGACGTTGACTACTTGGCTTGGCCCGCGGACCACCCGCCGCTGTCCGCGGCGAAGAGGGAGCCGACGACCGCCCGCGCTTTGGAGAAGCGCAGGACCGCGCGGGAGCAGGTCGAGGGCGAGAAGGGGAAGCCAGAGCCTCGCGTCGAGGAGGTGGACCTGTGGCCGATAGTGGTCAGGTCTGGGATCCGGAATACTCCGGACGACCCCCACGCAGTGCGCAAGTTGATGGCGTACGCTAAGACGTCCTGCTCGCACAAGGTGGTTGCCTGGATGTTCAAGAACGAGCACGTGTTGGAGAAGATCATCGACAAGGCCTGGGCGCGGGAGAACGTGGACAGCTTCCTCGAAGACGCGACGAAACCCGTCATGCAGCAGTTCAAGGAGGCCTTGCGGACGCCTTGCGTTTGCGGCGGCCGCTGGTTGCACCACGTCCGCGAAAGCCTGTCGATGAATCGCATCGACGTCCCCGACCTGTGCAGCAGCATCTTGATGTCCCTGAAGCACGGTCGGTCCGAGGCGGCCCCGGTGGTCACCTTGGCTGGGCGCTTCGGCGGAGAGGGGAAGTCTCTTCTCTTCTCGGCGGTTCGGCCGCTGTTCGGCGGTGAGCACGTGCAGGAGAGGCCAGGCGGGGGGCAGTTTTGCCTCCACGGCTTGGACAAGGCCAAGGCCGCGGTGCTGGACGAGTGGATGTTCATCGATGAGGACCTCCCCCTGTCCATCCAGCTCCTGTGGCTGGAGGGCAAGCCCGTGCCCATCACCATGCCCCAGAACCAGCACGTCGGGCACAAGGTGTACATGGGGTCCGCCCCGATTTTTGTCACCTGCCCCGAGACGGCGCTGGCGGGCCTCTCGTCCGAGTCGTCGCAGCGCCCGCAGGGGCAGGCTGGCATGCTGCTCCGGCGGCTGAAACTGTATTTATTCACTGTGCCGATTCCCAAGCCGCCGGCCCCGAAGCTAGTGCCGTGCCCGCGCTGTTTCTCGACCCTCGTCACAAGCGAGGCTCTTAAGTTCAAGCCCAAGTAGTCCTGCCGCGTGCGATTGGGGTCGCTGCGCGCAGACATCATCACCATCATCGCCATCATCACTGTCGCCATTATCGTCGTTGCCACACCTCGTTGCCCCATCGGGAACTCCACGGAAGGCACCGATGGCTGACTCCGCATGCCGCGCCCCGACAATTTCGGCAGACCCCTGGCTCTAGAGCGTTGCGCGACCGCCGCGGGCACGTCGTGCTTCTGGCCCGGCACGACTCCGACCGTCACCGTCGACGATGCCAGTGCTGTCGCCTCTGGGCCCGTCCGTCGGTCCGCGTGGAGCCTCTTTGGGGGTCGTCTTGGAGCCCCCGTGGATCTTCGTAAGGCCCCCCTGGAGGCCTTGTCGGGTGAGGTCTACGACAGAGGCCCCCCGCTGCATTCCATTCAATTCCATTCACTCCCAACTCCTCCGCAGGCCCCCCATTCCTTCCCAGTCCTCGCCACTCCCCTGCAGTCGTCCGCACCCCACCGCACTCCGCCAACAAAAACTCCGAAACCTCTCATTCCTCCACGCCCCTCCGCACTCTTCCCAACTGCTCCACGCCCTTCCGCACTCCACCCGAAACCTCCGCAACCGCCCCACTCCCCCCCACCCCTCCGCAGTCCCCCCGAACCTTCCGCAACCGTCCCATTCCCCCAGACCCCTCCGCAGTCTTCCCAGAACCTCCGCAATCTTGCCATTCTTCTCACCCCTCCGCACTCTTCCCGAACATCCGCAACTCTCCCATTCCTCCACACCCCGCCGCATTCTTCCCAAAACCTCCGCAAGTCTCCCATTCCCCCACATCCCTCCGCACTCCTCCCGAAACCTCCGGAGCCCTTCGAATTCGTTCCGCCCCTCCGCACTCCTCCCGAACATCCGCGATCCGTCCCATTCCCCCCCACCCTGCGCACTCCTCCCAAACCTTCCGCAACCGTCCCAGTCCTCCACACCCCTCCGAACTCTTCCCGAAACCTCCGCAATCCTGCCAGTCTCTCCACCCCTCCGCACTTTTCCCGAACATCCGCAACTCTACCATCTCTCCACATCCCTCCGCACTCCTCCCACTCCGCAACCCTCCCATTCCCCCACATCCCTCCGCACTCCTCCCGAAACCTCCGCAACCCTTTTATCATTCCACATCCCTCCGCACTCCTCCCAGACATCCGCACCTCCCCCATTCCTCCAGGCCCCTCCGCACTCCTCCCGAAACCTCCACAACCGTCCCATTCCTCCACATCCCTCCGCACTCCCCCCGAAACCTCCGGAGCCCTTCCATGTCTCCCCACTCCCCCGCACTCCTCCCGGGACATCCGCACATATCCGCACCTCCCCCATTCCTCCACACCCCTCCGCACTCCTCCCGAAACTTCCGCAACCCTCCCATGCCTCCACATCCCCTCGCACTCCTCCCAAACCTTGTGAAACCGTCCCATTCCTCCCCACTCCTCCGCACACCTCCCGAAAGAGACCTCCGCAACCCTCCCATTCCTCCACGTCCTTCCGCACTCCTCCCGACACCTTCGCAACCCTTTCATCCTTCTACATCCCTCCGCACTCCTCCCAAACCTTCTGCAACCGCCCCATTCCTCCCCACCCCTTCCGCACTCCTCCCGAAAGAGATTTCCTCCACCCTCCCATTCCTCCCCACCCATCCGCACTCTCCCCGAAACCTCCGCAACCCTCCCAGTCCTCCCCACGCCTCCGCACTCCTTCCTCACCTCCCACAACCGTCACATTTCCCCTCAACCCTCCGCACTCCTCCCAATCCTCTGGGGTTCTCCCATTCCTCCAGACCCCTCCGCACTCCTCCTGAAACGTCTCACCCCTTGCCCCAGCGTCTTACGCCCAGGAGCGGAACCTCCATCTTCCTCCTATTCCTTCTCCTCGTTCTCCTCAGGGTTGTGGGTGATGATGATGCTGCTGCTGATGATGATGCTGATACTGATGGTGATGATGATGATAATGATGATAATGATGATGATGATGATGATGATGATGATGATGATGATGATGATGATGATGGTGATGATGGTGGAGATGATGGTGGAGATGATGCCGCCGATGAGGGCGATTGTGATTGTAATGCTGACGTTTGTGGCATCTGTCCGGTCTCCTCCTCTCCCTCCTCCCTACTCCCACCTGCAAAACAAGATGGGGGACTCCCTATGGGGCCACGAAGCGCTGTACTGGGGGGGGGACGCAAGTGGACGGCGGCACTGGGGCCTTCGGTGGAGCTCGCTATGGGGCCACGAAACGCTGCACTGAGTGGGGGGGACGCATGTGGACTGTGGCACTGGGGCCTTCGGTGGAGCTCCCTATGGGGCCACGAAGCGCTGTACTGAGTGTACGAAACGCTGTATTAGGTGGGTGAAACGCAGGGAAGAGGGGGAGGAGGGAGGAGGAGGGAGGAGGAGGGGGAGGATGAGGGGGAGAGAGGAGAGGAGGAACGCGGGGCACCGTCCTTTCAAAACGAAGACCCAACAACACAGGTGTGTTGGGAATTATCCTGGCGAAAGACCCAACCATATGCAGTTGTGGGTACCGCAATTGTGAAAATCTTCTTCGGTGAAACCCCCTTTATGGGGCCACGAAGCGCTGCACTGGGTGGGGGGAACGCTGTTCTGGGTGAGTGGTGTGTCAAGTAAGGCTTCCGGGACGCATGCGGAGGGTCCCACTGGGGGCTTCGGTGGAGCTCCCTATGGGGCCACGAAACGGTGTATTGGGTGGGTGAAAATGCCAAATTGGGCTTCCGGGACGCATGCGGACGGTCTCACTGGGGGTTTCGGAGGAACTCCCTATGGGGCCACGAAACGCTGTACTGGGTGGGTGAAAATGCTAAATTGTGCTTCCGGGGCGCATGCGGACGGTCGGTCCCACTGGGGGCTTCGGTGGAGCTCCCTATGTGGCCACGAAACGCTGCATTGGGTGGGTGAAAATGCCACGTTGGGTTTTCGGGACGCATGCGGACGGTGGCACTGAGGCCTTCGGTGGAGTTCCCTACGGGGCCAAGAAATTCTGGACTGGGTGGGTGAAAATACCACAATGGGTGTTTCGGAACGCATGTGGACGGTCCCACTGGGGGCTTCGGTGGAGCTCCATGTGGGGCCACGAAACGCTGCACTGGGTGTGTGAAAATGCCACATGGGGTGTGCGGGACGCATGCGGACGGTGGCACTGGGGCCTTCGGTGGAGCTCCCTGTGGGGCCACGAAACGGTGTATTGGGTGGGTGAAAATGCCAAATTGGGTGTTTCAGGGCGACCTCGGACGGTCCCACTGGGGGCTTCGGTGGAGCTCCCTATGTGGCCACGAAGCGCTGTACTGAGTGGGGGGGACGCATGTGGATGGTAGCACTGTGACCTTCGGTGGGGCCCCCTTATGGGGCCACGAAACGCTGTACTGAGTGGGGGGGACGCACGTGGACGGTGGCACTGGGGCCTTCGGTGGAATTCCCTATGGGGCCACGAAAACTATACTGAGTGGGGGGACGCATGTGGACGGTGGCTCTGGGGCCTTCGGTGGAGCTCCCGATGGGGCCACGAAGCGCTGTACTGAGTGGGGGGGACGCATGTGGACGGTGGCACTGGGGCCTTCGGTGGAGCTCCCTATGGGGCCACGAAACGCTGTACTGAGTGGGGGGACGCATGTGGACGGTGGCACTGGGCCTTCGGTGGAGCTCCCTATGGGGCCACGAAACGCTGTACTGAGTGGGGGGGACGCATGTGGACGGTGGCACTGGGGCCTTCGGTGGAGCTGTATGGGGCACACGGGGAGCTCCCTATGGGGCCACGAAACGCTGTACTGAGTGGGGGGGACGCATGTGGACGGTGGCACTGGGGCCTTCGGTGGAGCTCCCTATGGGGCCACGAAACGCTGTACTGAGTGGGGGGACGCATGTGGACGGTGGCACTGGGGCCTTCGGTGGAGCTCCCTATGGGGCCACGAAACGCTGTACTGAGTTGGGGGAACGCATGTGGACGGTGGCACTGGGGCCTTCGGTGGAGCTCCCTATGGGCCACGAAACGCTGCACTGAGTGAGTGGGGGGGACGCATGTGGACGGTGGCACTGGGGCCTTCGGTGGAGCTCCCTATGGGGCCACGAAGCGCTGTACTGGGTGGATGAAACGCAGGGAAGAGGGGGAGGAGCGAGGAGCGGGAGGAGGAGGGGGAGGAGGAGAAGAGGAGGAGGAGGAGGAGAACGGAGGGACCGTCTCTTCAAAACGAGGACCCAACAACACAGGTTGGTTGGGAAAAAAGCATCGCCCCCCCTGGGCGGCCCAGGCTGGCAAGCCCAGGACCCTTGCCAGAAGCTCAGTGCTCCTCGAGCCAGGACCCAGATTCGGCGGCGCGCACGGGGGAGGCAGGGGTCGGCTACACGCAGGAGTGGCCCTAAGGCAAGAGTGGCCTTTTGGCGCGCGGAGGCAAGGGGGGCGCAATGTGGCCGAATCCAGGCGCGCAAGCAGCCGCTATCGCATCGCGCTCCGTGATCGGAGGGGGCCCCGATGAGCCCGTGCCAAAGGACACTCCTGCGAAGGGTCACTCTTAGGTGTAGTCGAAGGGGGAAGGGGGAGGCTGCTTAGAAGGAGGCTGGTTCTTCGAAGGTGCGGGCCTTGCATCCATGGATGTGGCCCGCGCCTTAGAAGAAGCAGGTGTGCTTCTAAGAAGCCTTCCCCCCTCCCCCATACCCTCCCCTGCGCGTGGCTGAAGCATCAGAGGGCAGAACTGGTCGGCATCTGAGTGAGACATCGGATCGAGCTGGAACGATCATCGAATCGGGCCGCATCGGCGCGAAGCCGGAACCGGATGGGGTCGACCGCGCCGAGGTGGACAGCAGCGCTGCGCGAGCATCGGGCCGCATCGGGCCGTCGCAGCATCGGAATAGCCTCGGACCGATCGGATCGAAGTGGGCCCTGAAAGGGGAGCGGAGATATGGGCGCGGCGCGGGGGAAGGGGAGAGAGGGGCGCGCGCGCGCGCGCGCTGCTGCTCGCTCCCCCACACACTGCTCTCGGTCCCGAGGCCTCGACGCGCCGTGCGGCAGGCCCGCGTGCGCTGCACTCCGAGTGCGCCCCAGGCCGTCCCGCTGCGCCGTCGGGGGGGGGGGGCTGCGGGTGGCGGTCACAGGCACCTTTGGCGTCGGCGCCCTGGGGCGCCAACTCTGGAGCTCTGGCGCCGATGCCGCGCGCGCGGTTCTGGGGAGGGAGGGAGGGAGGGAGGGAGGGAGAACTCGGAGAGTTCGCTATGGGACCGCTGTCCCCTCGGCTTGAGAGATCTGGGCGCCTGGAGCGCAGCCTCTCACTCCTCCTCTCCGTCTCGGGCGCGGGCAACAACGTGGCTGTGGGCGGGGGGCCCGTCCGACTCTCGTCGGCACAAGGGCGGGACATACACAGCCTTGTCCTTGGCCTGCGGCAGGGACCCCCCCCCCTGGGCGCCCCACGGGGCGCGGTCAAACCGTCGCGGGCGGGCGACTTTTCCTGCGGCCTTGCCCATCCCAGGGGGCGCCCAGCGGAGGGCCCGAGAGCGCCCAGCAAGGCCACCGAAAAGAAGGCCGCGCCGAGCGCCTCGAGCGAGAAGGGGGCCCCGTCCGCGGCGGCGTCCGCGCCCGCGGGTGGCCGTCCTTGGTGAGCCTGTGGTGGGCCGTCTCGTCTTCGCCCGGCTCAGCCAGCAGGCCCAGCACCTTGGAAGGATGCTGGGACGGGGGGGGGGGGGAAAGGGCCAGTGCCCTGAATGTTTTCTCCTCCTCCTCCTCCTCCTCCTCCTCCTCCTCCTCCTCCTCTGTGACGCACGAGCAGAGATCTTGCCACAACAGGTCTTGGGGCATAATTACCCTTCGTCGAGACTTGAGCTTCCCGAGGTTCCCCAAAGCTTCGATGGGCCCCCCAAGGTCACTGGAGGATCAGAAGCTTCCATTGGGCACCTGCCAGCCCCAAAGGATTGGTTGGTGGGATTTCGTGGCCCATGGGGTCCCCAAAGGCACGCAGCTGGTTCTCAAGATGGTCGAGGGAAGCCTCATTTCAGCGCACCACTCACTCACTTCGTCCCTCATGGGCCCCCGAACGCCCCCTCAGGGGGCTTCCAACGCCCGCGTCCCAGACAGTACGCCCATATTGCCCTGCGTAAATAGATTGAAACGATCGGTGCGAAACCTTGTCGAAGTCGTGCCAGCGAACACCCACTGATTGCGAGATTTGCATGCTCGACTCCCCCCTGGGACCCGCCGTGACCCGCCAGGATTCAACAACGAAAATTCTCTGAAGGTTCGTTTCAATCCAGAACGTCATCGGTCGCTCCGGGGGGCGATCTCGCCTCGGCGCCTAATCGCCACACTCCTGCAGACTCCTGCCCCTCCATAGCTAATGTGCTTCTATACGACGACCCTTCGGGTAATGAGGAGGTTCGGGAAGAAACAACGTCTCTCGCAATCAATATCACCCAGATCAATAGCACTATCGATCTCACGATCGATCCCTGTATCGACATCACTATCGGCCTAACGACCGATATCACTATCGATGTCACGATCGATCTTACGATCGATCTTACGATCGATCACACGATCAACTCACAAGCGATATCACGACCAAAATCACTACCGATCTCACTATCGATCTCACTCTAGATACCATGCCAAAATCACTATCGGACGCACTATCGATTTATACGTACCTATCTCACTATCGAGCTCCCTCTAGATCAAACGATCGATCTCACTATCGATCACACTACCGATATCACGATCGATCTCACTATCGATCTCACTGTCGATCTCACTACCGATCCCAATAACGATATCACTATCAATCGCACTACCGATCTCGCTACCGATCTCACCATTAATATGACTATCGGTCTTACTATCGATCCCACGATCGATCTCTCCTTCGACAGCACCATCAATCTCATCATTTTATATCACTATCAACTCACTGTCGATCTCACGATCGATATCACGATCGGTTTCACTATCGATGTCGATCGATCGATCTCACTATCAGTCTCACTATCTCTTACACTATCGATCACAATATCGATCTCAATATCGATATCACTATCGATCTCACTATAGATCTCAATATCGATCTCACTATCGGTCTCACTATCGATCTCAATGCCGATCACACGATCGATCTCACTACGGGACACCGACGAGACACCGACGTGACGCCGACGGGACAGCACTATCGGTCCCAATACCGATCTCAATATCGATCTCACTATCGATCTCACTATCGATTTCTCTACGTGACACCGACGGGATACCGAAGGGACACCGACGGACCACCACGGGACATCACGGGGCACCATCGGGACACCACGACGGGACACCCCTGGCAACCGCTCGCCAACCTCGGGGGGGGGCGCGTCTGTTGATCTCCTAGCCAGAGGAAGGTTCATCATCCCCTCGCCCGCCAACGCAGCTTCGTTTCGCCCGCACGCACGACACGAACACGAAACCGAAACCGATTTTCTGGTGGGGGACTCTCCGTTCCACTTCGATCTCACCCGCCGACCTCCGACGACTCTCACCACACCCGTGGACATCCTTGTTTGCATGTACCTCTGCTCGCAATCAAGATTGCAATACACTGCTTGAGTGGGGATCAGGATGCACTTTACCGACGGCCGTGGCCCAAGATCTGCTAGAATTGAACAACTGGAGAAACTAATGCGCACGTCTACATTCACACAGTCCATGCCCTGGCTTGCAGTCGACAAGGCCCTTAAGGGCATGACCACGCATGGACAGCGAGCGCGTGGACTTGAAGGCCTGGCTTCCAAATCGACACTGGCGGATATCGACCACGTCAATACTCCCCGCAGTGTAAATCGAGCAGCACCTGGTCACACTCGGGCACGGTACCCCCCCCCCCCCGGCAGTGGCCTCTGCCTGAAACCTTTTCGCGGACACCCGGTCCGATCTGATCCCTTCTCTCCTTCTCCGTCCTTCTTCTCTCCCTCCTCCTCATCACCACCTCCCCTCCCCTCCTCCCCTACTCCTCGTCATCCGTCTCCTCCGCGTCCTCGTCCTCGTCCTCGTCGTCCTCCTCGTCATCGTCCTCGGCCTCGGCCTCGGTCTCGTCCTCTTGGTCCGTCCTCCTCGCTCGTCCTCGTCCTCGTCGTTGTCCTCGTCCTCCTCCTCCTCCTTCTACTCCTCTTCTCCTCCTCTTCTCCTCCTCCTCCTCCTCCTCCTCCTCCTCCTCCTCCTCCTCCTCCTCCTCCTCCTCCTATCCCTCCTCGTAGGATGGAATCCGCGGACCTCCCTGGGGATGCGCTTCGACTACAAATTCGAAGAAAACACAGCCGTGGCGACGAAACGCCACCTGGAGGCCCGAGAAGGGCGAAAAGCAAGCCCAAAAATCTCGACTCCCCATGCTCGATCCTCGAACCTTGCTCTTGCGCAGAACTCCGTCGTCGTGTTTTCTTCCCGACCCTCCTGTGTTTTCGGTCCCCGGTTTGAATCCAAAGCGCCGCGCGGCTTCTTTTCCTCCTTCGCTTCCTCCTCCTCCTCCTCCTCCTCCTCCTCCTCCTCCTACATCCTTTTCCTGCTCGTCGTCCTCCTCCTCTCCTCCTCCTCCTCCTCCTCCTCCTCCTCCTCCTCCTCCTCCTCCTTCTGGCAGCAATGGATGTACGCACCACGACGGAGGAACTGGATTCGTCTTTCAAAATGTGGTTGGATCATTACGAGGACGAGCTGGTCCAGCACTTCGGAGTGGACCAACCCGAGCGATACCGCGGACGTGCAGATGCTGGTCGGCTGGTGCAAACGACCCTCCAGATGCACTGTCGAAGCCAGGCCAAGGGGCGTGGTGCAGCTGATCTGAGTGAAGGGCACTGGCAGTGGCTTGCACAGCGACTACGTGAGTGGAGATGGCGACGGGCGACGGGATTCTCCGCGGGCATGTGCAAGCGTGTCAGCAAGCCCTGGCAGGGCCAAGTCCATGGCGACAGAAGCACAGGACGCCGTCAAGCCTAGGCACGGCCTCTGGCATGATGGCCGTGACATGGCCAGCAGAGCTCGGCAAGGTCGAGCTCCCCACGATTGAGAACGTCAGGAAGATCGCGCACACGTTCCGCTCGGACACCTGCCTAGGCTGCGATGTGGTGCACCCACCCCAGGCACATGATGTTCATGAGTAACGATGCGGTGCAGTGCCTACTTTCTCTTTGGGATTATATGTTGCAGTCGGGGCTTGTACCAGGAGCGAGTCGTGTCATGAGAGAAACGTTGTTACCCGAACCTGATGGCGGCAGACGTACGATTGTCATCTTTCCAGGCACCGTGCGGCTACTGACGAGATGGCTCCGTGCGACGACGGGTGCCCGATGGGCAGATAGAAGCAGGCGCCGCTACATCTTTAGTGCTGAGGGGCAGAGCTGCGAGGCGTGCGCACGGCGACAGGCGGCTGCTTGAGTGTGGGCCACTATGTGCAACAAGACGTGCCTGTCCACCTGCTCGACTTCTCCAAGGCCTGCGAGTACATCCAGTGGCCCAAGCTTCAGGTTCGTGCTGAAAGGCTGGGTGTCAACATGCGCCTGGTGCGATTCCTGATCATGCTCTGCTCGATGCCGAGGTTGCTGTCCTTCGAAGGCATTGTGACTGAGATGCTGACGCCCATGCGAGGCGTGTTGGGTGGATGCTCTTTCGCCGACCTAATGATGCGCATCTTCCGCATTCCCATGGTGGCGGTGTAGCGGAGATGCCGGGGATAACGATCGGCAACGTGGTCGACGGTATCCAACTACAAGCGACAGGCGCTCGGACGACAGTCGTGCAGCAGACCGATGTGGCATACCGCAAGGCAGAGCAGGAGCTCCAGGGCGCAGGCCCCATTGCGGAGCGAGCAGAAAGCCGAGCTCGCGGGCAGCGCCTTCGGGGCGGCGGAGGAGCCCGGCCGCAGGTGATCCCCTCCCTCGCGACGGCCCCGACGGCGACGGACCACTTCACGAGGAAGCTGGGCTGCGACTGCGCCTGCGGCAAGAAGGTGGGCACCTGGACCCGCCTGAGCCGCCCTGGAGAGAAGTGGAGAGGCGTGGTGCCAAGATTCGTGCACCGCGCCGTGCCAGGGGTACGTGCAGGCATCTCGTGAGCACGGGGCTGGCTCCTGCTGGCACCTGGGGGGGGGGGGCGGGGTCACGGGCAGGTCGTGGAGCGGAGTGATGGCTCCGAGGCGTGCGGCCAGGGCCGCCCCGTTCCAGAGCACCGCCCGTCGACCGCGCACGCTCGATCTGGCCCTGGCCCCGGGTGACACAGCAGCGATCGGCCCAGCCTACAGTCGAGGCGTTGACCTGAGGAACCCTAAATAAGGAATGAGGCCCCTTTTTCCCATAAGTTCAACCTCGACTTCCCATGGAAAACCTCAGGAAAACCCGAGGCAAACTGTGAAACAATCAAGGAACACCGAGCCCCTCCCCAACGAACAGGGTTCCTTCTTCAGCGCCCCGACTGTACCCTTGCACGCTGAACCCCACTGTCGTGCTCGCTCGGGCCTTCGGGGAGTCTCGGGAGCCCAGGGAGGCGCTGAGCCGCGGGCCTTCTGCTGCCGACGAGGCCCTCGGAAGGGGCCAAACACGCTCGGAGCAAAAGCCGCTGGCCCGGGCGCCCGGGCCTCCTGCTTCGGGATCGGGTGGGCGCTCGGGCCAGGAGCAGGTCAGCTCAGCACGGCCGATGGCGATGTGATCGATTTGTGCCGTGAATGCCCCCGCACGATCAGGAGGATAGCGCAGTGGAGGGTAGAACTTGGCTCCCTGACAAGGCCCGTTGTGAAGACAGGTATCTCAGCAGCCTCTCCCACCGCCTCTCCCACCGGCCTCTCACATCGCCCCCCTCGAAGCCCTGGTCTCTCAGAGGTCCACGCAGGACTGGTCCGAAGTGCACCGGGCAGCCCTCCGCTGCTTGGCTGCCAACGGCTTCTGGGGTGACCGAGAGAATGTGCAGCGGAGGGCTGAGAGACAGCCCTCCGTGCTCCATGCGTGGGGGTGGACCTGGGGCGGTGGGGTGCTGGTGCCGGGGGGATTGCGACTGTACTCGTTTTTTACAGAAGAGATGATTCAGTCACGCGGTCACTCCGGGAGGGAGCAAAGAAGCATCCCGGGTGGCCTCTGTGGTGTCACGCGCTGGTGGCGGATCCGCGGCCGTGGCTTCCTCGCCCCACGATGGATCTGCTCGTTCACTGGCGTGTGCGGCCCGCTGCGGGCCATTTCGAGGGTCCCTGTTACGGCGATGGTTCGTGCCACTCGAGAATCGCGAGCGACCCCATGCTGCATGGAGCTGGATAAGAAGGAGCTGGATGAGGAGTCGTGAAGGTAAATTCCAGCGGGCTCGACATCCTCGCCTCCCTGGCACCCGTCCCAGGGTTCAACCAGAGCTTGGAGGTTGGCGAGCTCTTTTCGTTCAAGATGTATCTTGATAATTTTGCCCTCGGGCGGTACGAGTACATGTCCGATTGCGATTGGGTTGCAAGTAGTTTCCGCAAAGGCCGCACAGAGACAACAGGTGCTATGCATGCCTGTGCTGACTTATGGGAGTGGCTGTGGGATCGTGTGCGTGACTTGGGGGTGAGGTGCGGGTGATCAAAATGAAGGGTCGTGCGCGTGTGCGCAATGATGACCTTGACGCGGGTGCTAGATGGCGCCGCCTTGGCAACCGAGCAGCTGACGAGTCATCCCGAGCTGGCGCCCGAATGCACCCAGTCGATTCGGTTGCCAAGGAGCGTGTTGAGCGCTCGCACCAGGTGATTCAGTTTGTTGGCAACTGCCTGGCCAGGACACTCAGAGCTGCTGGCCCAAGTGTTGCGTCCGCCGCTCGGAGCGAGGCCCGGGCCGAGAAGTGGGGCGCCAAATCATCCCACGGCTGTCCGACGATGCTGTGTCTGCCGAGGGCTCGCATAATCCCTTGTGGTTTCCCAAGGGCGGCTCCAGGTGCATAACATGCCTGAGATCTGGCATCACGGCCCAAATCCTGAGAGCTGCCCCGCGTGAGCCTGGTGCGGGCCACCGCGTACGGACGGTGGGCCCCTTCGTGGAGTGGGAGGAGGGCCAGGAGGAGGAGGAGGAGGAGGAGGAGGAGGAGGAGGAGGAGGAGGAGGGGGAGGAGGAGGAGGAGGAGTAGGAGGAGGAGGAGGAGATGAAGGAAGGAGGTGAAAGGCCTTCGACAACCGCGAGGAGGAGAAGGAGGAGGAGGAGGAGAAGCCTTCCAACCCTCCCCCGTCGACGAGAGGCGGTCGACCGAGGCCGGCACGTTCAGGCACCGGTGCTGGCTCTCCGCGAGCGGGTCGCCGTTCTGGCGGCGAGGCCGCGGGGGAGGGAGGAGGGCAGCCATAGGAGGGAGGAGGAGGACGAGGAGGAGGAGGAGGACGAGGAGAACGAGGAGGAGTAGGAAGAGGAGGAGGAGGAGGACGAGGAGGAGGAGGAGGACGAGGAGGAGGAGGAGGAGGCGGACGGGTGAGGAAGCGGAGGAGGAGGAGGAGGAGGAGGAGCATCTTGGATCATCGTCGACCAACCGAAAAAAATCATGTCCCACAACCAAGAGGAGGAGGAGGAGGAGAAGGAGGAGGAGGTCCGAAAGTCGGAGGCGAGCGACGGGGGGGTGGTGGGAAGGAGGAAGCCTGCTGCCTTTGTCGCTGGTCTGGCTCCCGCCGCCCGCTCTCGCTCGTCGCTCGCGCGTGCGCGCGCTCACGGGGTCGCGCCCCGCCGCGGCCGCGGCGGGCGGGCGCTCCCGCGGGCGGAGGAACGCTCGTGGAGGGCGAGACGCGAAACGCGAAGGAGAGGGCCTTCTCAGAAGACGGCGGGGCTTCTCAGAAGGCCTCCCGCCTTCTGAGAAGTGCTTTGTGTGTGTGTCTTCGGAGAAGGCTCAGAAGAAGACTTCTCAGAAGGCTGGGGGGCTTCCGAGCCTTCCGAGAGAAGGCCCGCCCCTTCTCACTTCCCCCCCAGCCCGCCGCCGATACATGGGGTCCGACCAGATGGGGTCGGAGGATCACGCCGCATCGCCGATGCATCAGCGATGCATCGGCGATGCGTCAGCAACGTCGGCGGTGCATCGGCGACGCCACCGCGGACCAAATCAAACTCCACACCGAGCCGCATCGGCGATGGTTCGGCGATGCGGCCCTATCCTCCTACGCCATGTGCTCAGGCCCTACTTTCTTCGAGGCTGGGAGAATCATGGGGTGGCGGCCTGGGGCGTCGTCCCGCGCTTCTCCCGGCTTCTCTGTGCTCATGGTCCTTCGAGCTGGTGCCAGACAAGCTTAGTCATCGTCGTCGACGTAGTCGTCTCTGCTTCTCTTTGCGTGGCATTGGTTCGGGGCTTATGCCATGCAAAATTCGAGCGCGGAGCCCTTCGGACCTCGTGCCAACGCCTTCAAGTGACCAAATGCTGATCACTGCTGCTACTGCTGCCCAAATGTTGATGACGACTGCGCGCTGCCTATTTATCGCTGCTCAGAGAAACCCCGTGTTGTTACTTACCGCTGAGTCCCCAAATAGTGCCAAGAAGCCCACGACGCCTCAACCGCGGATTCTTCTGGGGGTCGGCGGGCTGGCGTAGGCCTCTTGAATCACACTCCACTCCGCTCGCCACACGGCAGCACCCTGGGGGCGAAAACAGATCCCGCTTCAGCGGCAACGCCGCGGGGAGGAAAACATGCCGTTCCACTCGACTCGCCGCGTGGCATCGCCCCGGGGTGGGGGGGGCGGACAAACATGCTCCGCTCGATGCCCTGCACTTGAAACTCTTCCGCGCGGACTGGCCGAACTGACACACTCAGGGTTCCCGGTTCTGGGGCAGGCCTGCGCGGGCCGATGGGCGCGCGAAGCGGCGGCGCCACGGGGCGAAAAGAAGCTGCTCCGCTCGAAGCGCCACCCGGCAACGCGCGGGGCGCGAAACAGAACGACCACTCTACTCTACTCGTCGCGTGGCAACGCCGAGTGGCGGACAACAATACATCCTACTCGCCACGTGGCAACGCCTTGGGGGCCAAAAAAACAGAGTGAGGGGGCTGTGTCATTTAGTGTCCCTGGGCGCATGTTGAAGTGGGGCTCCGTGGTGCAGATTGTTGTTGTTGCGTCGTTGTTGATGTTGTTGTTTTTGTGGTTGGTGGTGGTGGTGCTGATGTTGGTAATGGTATTGTTGTTGGCGGTGATATTGTTGCTGCTGTTGTTGTTATTGGTATTATTGTTGTTGTTGCTGTAAGTGTTGTTGGTGATGGTTATTGTTGTTGTGCTTGATTGTTGGTGTTGTTGGTGTTGCTGTTGGTGGTGGTGGTGGTGATGCTACTGTTGTTGTTGTTGTTGTTGTTGCTACTGTTGTTGTAGTCGGCTTCTCATTTCTAAATGATGAAAGATGTTGTTCCCCCCTGCCCGGTAAGCAATGTAGGTTTCAATTCAAGTGCGTTTCCCGTGGTTCGCACGCTGTTTTTTATAAAGCACGTTTCACGGGCGCTTGCCTTGGAAACATTCGGCGGCGCATTTCGAACCGGGGGGTGGGCCCCCCCCCAACACTCGGCGCCGTCGATCAGAACCAGGGGGACTCCCCTCCCCCCTAATTCCCCCGCTCCCGAACCCCCCCCCTCCCACCCTGGCGCTGGCGCCGGCGCTGGCGGCCGCCGTAGCGCCAACGCAGCGAGGATGACCAGAGACAGCCCGTGGGGGGGGGGGGGGGGGGCGCTTCAAACTCCCCCCCCCCGCGCCAGCGCCGGCGCCGGCGCTGGCGGCGGCCAGCAGCGCCGACGGCGGGGACGCAGCGACGATAACCAGAGAGGGCCCAGAGGCCGCAGAGGGAACACACAAATCGCCATATCGAGCCCTCGCATGCTCCTCATACTCCCCCGAAACCCTTCTGACGAGACCTCAAGAGGCATCCATTAAAACTCTGACCCTTTGCCAAAACGCAGGGGCGGGAAGAGCCGAAGGCCACACCACCAACACCACCACCGCCACCACAGACCACCATACCACCACCACCACCGCCACCACCACAACCACCACCACAACCACCACAACCCACCATCACCACGACCACCACCACCACCACAAACCACCGCACCACAACCACCACCACCAAAAAACGCCACCACCACCCCAGCACCACCACAACTCACCACAACCCACTACAACCACCACCGCCACCACGACAAACCACCACACCATTACCACCACCACAACCACCACCGCCACAACCACCACCATCACCACAACCCACCACCAACACCACTACCACAAACCACCACACCACCACGACAACCACCACCACCACCACCCATTACCCACCACCCACCACCCACCACCACCACAAGCACCACTACCAGCAGCAGCACCACCACCACCAACACCACAACCCACCACCAACACCACCACCATAAACCACCACGCCACCACCACCACCGCCACCACGACCACCACCATCACCACCTCAACCCACCACCACCAACAACACCAAACCACCACACAACCACCACCACCACCACCACGGCCACCACCACCACCACCACAACAGCTCACCACCAGCACAACCACCAATACAACAACCCACCACCACTACTACCACCATCACAACAATCTACCACACCACCACCACCACCGCCACAACCACCACCACTACTACCAGCAGCACAACCCACCACCACCACAACAACCACCACAAACCACCTCACTTCCACCACCACCAACGCCACCACCACCACCAGCTCTACGCCAGCCGCCGCCGACGCCTACGCCGGCCAGAGGGAGAGAGGAGAAGTGAGGGAAGGTGGGGGTCGAAGCCCCCCCCCCTCCGTCACGGGAGGGGGGGGAGGTTCGAACCCCCCCCGAATCCATCCAGGAGGGGGGGGTCCGGTTCCATAACCCCCCCCCTCCAAGCGACCACAGAACGCGCTCTTTCCACCAAACTGTGCCCCTGGCCCCCGGTATACAACAACGACAATAACAACGCCTCCCGCCTGATACTTCCTCACAATGTGCTCCCAAATCGCGCTCTCGCGCGAAACTTCCGTACAACTTATGCATGAGTCGCGCTCCCTCGCAGTTTATGCAGACGCCGCGCCCTCGACACTCAGGAATCGCGCTCTCGCTGTGGATCCCCTCACGATGTATCTGGGAATCGTGCTATCGCTCGAGACTTCCCCGCGATCCATGCAGGACGCACGCCTCAGCACCCGACCTGCCCCTCTCCCCTTCCCTCCGTCCGTCCTCTCTTCCCCTGCCTTGGGGGCTGCACGAAATGCACGTCACAGGCAAGAAAGATGTACGCCTAAGGGGGGGGAAGATCGAAGACGAAGACGGCGGGTACCGAGGGGGTGGAATAGTTGTGTTGAGCGGCACGCGAGCAGATATGAGCGAACAGTCTTAAAATGATTACGGTTGTGGTTATTGTTCTCGTTGTTGCATTCAGATTTCTAACAAATATTTACTGCTGATCCCCCCTCCAGTGACCATTACATTTTTCAGTTGAAGCGCCCGCCCCGGGGCTCGCACCTGGCGTTATGAGTGAAATTTTTCTTGTCACCAAACTGTGTTGTGGGGCCCCGAACTACAACAACAACAACGGATCCCGCCTGATACTTCATCACAATTAATTCCAGAATCGCGCTCTCGCGCGGAACTTCCTCACAAGTTATGCGTGAATCGCGCTCTCTCGTGGGACTTCATCGCAATCTATTCAAACGCCGCGCCCCCGACACTCAGGAATCACGCTCTCGCGTTGGCCTCTCTTGCGATTTAATTGGGAATCGCGCTATCGTTCCAGACTTCCTTGCGATTCATGCAGGATTCACCCGCCTGCTCGACCTGGCCGCCCGGGCCCGCCTTCCCGATCCTTTCGTTAGCGTCTACCCGCCCGATGGGCCCGTCTGGTTTTGCTACGTATTTTCTGCTCCTAGCCCCTCTCCTGCGAATCCCGTGCTCCATCATTCTCCCTCCCCTTTCCATCTGTCCTCTCTTCCCCTGTTCCAGGGGCTGCACCAATCACACGCGGCAGGTAAGGAAGATATACCGCCAGGGGGGTGCGATCGAAGACAAAGAGGGCGGGTACCGAGGGTTTGGGATACACGTGTTGAATGGCACGCGAGCAGGTAAGAGCGAACAGTCTCAAAGTGATTGTTTCTGTTGTTGTTGGTGATGTTGTCTCCGCTGTTGCTGTTGTCCTCGCCAGCGGCCTGCCCGTTACCCCCCCCACGATCCACCCCGCGACCCACCCGGCGACCCGCCTGGCGACCCGCTCGCGACCCACGGGCACTGCTCTGACGAAAAGATCGGTGCCTGCGGAAGGCTCGTTGTGTGATTTATCCTTGGGAGGGAGCCGAAGGGTCAATCATTCTCCCTGGGCGCGTGGCTGAAGTGGGGTTCCGTGGTGCGGGTTGTTGTTGTTGTTGTAGCTGTTGTCGTTGTTGTAACTGTTGTTGCTGTTGCTGTTGTTGTTGTTGTTCTTGCGTTGTTGGTGTTGTTGTTGTTGCTGTTATTGCTGGAAGTGTTGTTGTTGTTGTTGCAATAGTTGCCGTTGTCGTCGTCGTTGTTGTTGTAGCACTGTTGTAGCATTGTTGTTGTCGTCGTCCTCGTCCGCGACCCGCGGGCGACCCAACCCGCGACCCACCCGGAGACCCGCCCGGCGACCCACCCGCGTCCCACCGGCACTGCTTTGACAAAAAGGTCGGAGCCTGCGGCGGGCTCGTTGTGATCTATCCGAGCGAAGATGCCGAAAAGTCATTCGTTGTCCCTGGGCGCGTGGCTGAAGTGGGGTTTCGTGGTGCGGGTTGATTTTGTTGCTCTCTCATGACTAAAGAATAATTGCTGTTGGTCCCCCCTCGACACTGCGCGCGGCAGCGCGCGGTGGGCGACACAACAGAAACTACTTTGCCCGGAGGAACGCTTGGGGAAGTGAAACATAGTACACCACTCGCCTCGCCACGTGGCAACGCAGTGGTGGCGAAACAAAAGATGCCACTCTACTCCGAGCGTGGCAGCGCCGCGGAAGGGGAAATGTGCCATTCCACTCGACAAGCCGCGCGGCAGCGCAGCGCATTCAGGGCGAAAAAGGTACTCCACTCGACGACCTGGTTTTGAAAACGTCCAGCACCCATGCTGCACTTGGAAGGAGGAAGAGTACTCTGTGAGCCTGCGCCCGCGGGGAAACAAATCGCCAGGCCAAGAAAAGATCCTCGCTCGACCCAACAGAAATCCTCCTTGGGCCCCCAAAGGCTTCCCGGTTCGCCTCCCAATAGAATCCCCGGTCGCCCCAGAACGAATCCCCTGTTCGCGGCCAAATTTCCTGGTTGGCGGCCCGACTTCCTGGTTCGCTTTTTCACCGCCCTCGGCGGGCCCCAGTACCATGAAAAAACTGCTGAGCTCCCATAATGAAAAAATGCTCCTGGTGGACCCCCCAGGGGCCTAGGAGCCGACGTCGACGTCGAAGTCGACGGCGTCGAAGTCAATGGCATCGTCGCCATGGTCGCCGTCGCCGAGGGGTGGTCGTCGTCGCCGCCGCTGCCAACAGGACGACGTTAACGTCCAGAAAATGCTTCTGTGTTTTCGGCCTCCAGGGGCCCTCAGCGAACCCCAGGACCGTAAAATAACGGCTCAGCTCCTGAGGTGAAGAACTGCTCCTGGTGGCAGGACTCGACGCTACAGTCCTTCGCCGACGTCGACGTCGACGGCGTCGTCGCCGTCGCCGTCGTCGTAGACGAGGGGCCGCGGAGAGCAATGACAGGAGGATGAGGAGGAGAAGGAAGAGAAAGAGGAGGAGGGGAAAGTAAAAAGGAGATGGGGAAATGCGAATTCCCGGTTTGACCGATCGGAATTCCAAATGTCGCGCGTCTGCGGAGTTCCGCGTTTGAGGTGAATTCCGGGTTTCGAAACGGATTCCGGGCTTCGCCATTGAAGCCGAGTCCGATTTTCGACCGAATGTATTTCAGGTTTGGGGGCGATTCCCGGGTTGAGCTCCCCATCGGATCGGTATGCCTACAGATGGGAAGAGTTGGTATGCGGATGTCACGGGGAACGATGGGGTCAAACATCCAGCTTGAGTCGGCCTTACATCGCCGATAGATTGGCGATAGACCCCCGATAGCAAAGCCGATCATTTCTGGGCGGGGTGGGCTATCAGGCCCCCATTCGACGATGAATTGGCGTTTGGGGGTCGATGCTTCCCCCGAGCCAGTCCCCCCCCATGTCGTTGCCCCTGAGGATATTTAGAGAAAAGAAAAAGGGACAGGTGAGTTGGTGGAGGAGGAGAAGCAGAGGCGGAGGAACGTGACGTGCAGGATGAGGAGAACCAGCAGCAAGAGGAGTAGCAACAGCAGCAGCAGCAGCAGTCAAGGAAAGGCCCGCCCCCCCTTGCTGGACAGGTGCCTTGTCGTGTATCCGGAATGAGAACAGCTGCTCCTGCGGGGCACATTCGTGGCATCCCTCCCCCCTCCTCCGCAGCTCCCCTCCCCCTCCTTCCCCACCTGGCCTCACCCCGCCCCGGTGCCTGCGGCAAAAAAGCCTCGGGACACTGAAGGAGATCTCCGGAAGTCTCCCGAGGCCCGACAAGAGCCCAAGGCGTCGAACAAAATCTCGACCATCGAAGTTCGAAGCCTCCTCCTACCATTCTTGGATCGCTGCGCCAAACCTCCCCAGGGTCCCCCCGTACTTCCTTCAAGCCGCCGCCCCTGCGACGCGAACCTCGATCCTGGAACCTCGAGGCCACCCCCTCCCCCGAGACCGCCTCGTCCAGCCTCCCCGGGCCCCGTGGGTTCCTAGCAATCGCCGACCTTCGGACGCAGACCCCGGACTCGCGATGTGTTCACACACGGGCCCTCCGAAGTCTCGACCCCTTCCTGGGAACAGCTTTTCATCCCTATCATTATTATTCCTTTTATTATTAGTATGCTTATGATTATTATCATTATTGTTATTCTTCTGATGCTTCTGCTTCTTCTTCTTCTTCTTGTTACCAATTTTTTGGTTTGACAAAACCGTCCACAGCGAACTTTGGCACGACGCGGCGGGGCCTGGACCCTCCCTGACCAGCCACGACTGGGGGAGCTTTGTTCCTCACCCCCCTCGGGGGGAACCCATCGTGCCGACGATCTCTCGACGAGTTTTCGAAGCCGATGGGTTGGTTCCCCAGGGTGGTAAGGACCGCGGCCTCCCCAGCTGTGGACGGCGTGCCTCCTACACGTCCCCCTTCCGAGACCGCCTCGTCAAGCTACGACGTGGATGATACCACGCTCGGGCAGCCCCCTGTGATGGCCGGCCGCGGCACACCTGAGCCCTCCTCGCAGGGCGGGAGAGTCAGCTGGGCGGAGCAATGCGTCCGTATACTTATACAAAATTATACTACATGCGTATACATGTACACATATATACATATACATGTACACGCATACATAATATACATATATATATATATGTATATATATGTTTATCTATGTATATATGTGTATGTGTAGATGTGTGTACTGCTATACGCCGAAATCCACCGGCCCCCTTGTGGGGCCACCAGGCTGTAGGCCGAGGGTTTGCTTTTCCCTGCGCCAGTTCCAATTTCCAGTTTCCACTGTTACAGTATTGCTTTATGCTGCTTACTGCTCCTTGTTGTAGACCGCGTGAAGGGGGGGAGCCGAAAACCAGCAAACCGAGCGTCTCCTGGGAGAGTTCTCAGAATTTCTGGGGGGGTCGAAATTGACACCCCTCACGCAGATCGGCGGGGTCAGGGTCCAAAAACACATGGGATGTGCAACATCATGTGTAAAATTCGGTAACACCCCTCACGCAGATCGGCGAAGTCAGGGTCGAAAAACCAATGGGATTTGCCACAGTTCTAAAATTCGGTGGCATCCCTCACGCAGATCGGCGGAGTCAGGGTCGAAAAACCAACGGGATTTGCCACAATTCTGAAATTCGGCGGCACCCCTCACGCAGATCGGCGGGGTCAGGGTCCAAAAACACATGGGATTTGAAACATCATTTGTGAAATTCGGTAGCACCCCTCACGCAGATCGGAGGAGTTAGGGTCGAAAAACCAATGGGATTTGCCACAATCCTGAAATTCGGCGGCACCCCTCACGCAGATCGGCGGAGCCAGGGTCGAAAAACCTATGGGACTTGCCGAATTCCTGAAATTCGGCGCCACCCCTCACGCAGATCGCCGGAGTCAGGGTCGAAAAGCCTACGGGATTTGCCACAATTCTGAAACTCGGTAGCAACCCTCACACAGATCGGCGGGGTCAGGGTCGAAAAACCAATGGGGTTTGAAATTTGGTGGCACCTCACGCAGATCGGCGGGGTCAGAGTCAACAAGCACATGCGATTTGCCACATTTCTCAAATTCGGCGGCACCCCTCTTGCAGATCGGCGGGGTCAGGGCCGAAAACCACTTAGGATTTGCCACGTGTCTTGAAATTCGGTGGCCCCCCTCACGCAGGTCGGTGGGGTCAGGGTCAAAAAAACACATGGGATTTGCAACCAACATTTCAACACCTCGTAGAAACAAATACACAATATACGCGAGCAAACTCGAAATACAACACTGAATTCAACAATATCATTTGAATCTCAAACTGTCTTGCAAATTACTCATCGTCTTCGCGTGAAGTCCCGACGCTGCTTCACGGCGACGCCAAGGCCTCATGATTTCGCTCGTGCATTGCCCATGATCCGAGAGAGGGGACCGGCGGCAGGGGGCGAAGCCCTTACGGTCTATCTATATATCTCTATATATATACACACACGTATATCAGAGGCTGGGGGGTGAGAAGGGAAGGAGAGACCCCGTCGGGAAATCGGTTTCGGTTTCGGGCTCGCGTCGTGCGTGCGCGAGCCAAAGGCAGGCCGCTGCTCAGCCTGCGCAGCGGAGGCATCAGCTGCCGACGGTGCATTGTCCTCGGTCTTCGCCTCTGCCTCGTCGATGTGAGCGCGCAGTTGGGCCGACCGGTCTGGAACTCCTCCGCTCGACTGCACAGCTCTGTCGAAAGCGTCGATGACCCTGACGATGTATCCGCTAGGTGCCCTTTGCCAAAAGGATGCGAACTGTGTTTGCTGGCCGCTGGATCTGCGCATCGTCGCCCGCTGGGGAAACAAGTCGTGGTCGGCCATGTCCCCAACTGAGGGAGCTGCCTCGTTGGAAGACGACGCTTGAAGACCCTGAAGCATGCCAAAACATTGTTCTCTGGATTCCAACGCCACGGAACAACCTGACTCTTGCGCTTGGACAATCCTGAACCGCGCCAGAACGCTATTCCTGCGACCGCAACACCGCGAAGCAACGTAACCGTTGTATCCTCATGGTCCAGAACCAATCCAAAACACAATCCATGGTGCGTTGATCATGGGAATCCGTAAAACTCTTGAAAATGTCAAAACGATTGTGAGAGGCGCTGGGGCGATGGCCACATTCTGAAAAAGGAGCTACCCTGAATCCGAGAAAATCGTGCAATTTGTTACGACGAATGCGTGCGGCGCTGAAGCGAGAACCACATTTTGAAAACCACCCGCCCTCAATCCGTGAAACGGTTGCACCTGTAAAAAAAGCATGCGCGACGCGCTAAGGCGAGAACCACATGTTGAAAAGAAACCGCCCTGAAGCCGTGAAAGTCTTGCAAATGTTTACAACGAATGCGCGCGGCGCCGAGGCGAGAGCCACATCTCGAAAACCATCCGCCCTCAATCCGTGAAGCTCTTGCAAATGTTCAAATGTTCAAAACGAATGTGTGCGCGGCGCTAGGGCGGAAGCCACATTTTGAAAACCATCCGCCCTCCATGTGCGAAGCTGTTGTCGTTTCTTCAGCTACAGGGTCACAAATGATGAGGCAGCCTCGGGCGAAACGCCCGGCCCGCCCTAAAAACTGGCCTCGGGTCGCGAAGGGGATAAATTATCGATAAGGAAAACGAATCGAGGAAGAGGCGGGGGCGACCGCCGCCCCCCTCTGCACGCGCGCGTGGGGGCAAAGGGGTCCAACGGCTCGTCCACCAGGAAGTACAGGTCGTCCGTCCACTCGACGCCCTCGTGGACCTCGGACTGCCAAGGTTTGCCCTCAACCCTCGAGGATCGAGGAGGGAGGTTTTGTTCAGTGCCTGCTGGCATGTGTTTTACGTTGTTTTGGCCCTTCGTGTCTTCGGGAGAGCCTGTTCTTTGGGGGGGCAGCCGTCGGCACACTCTCTGACGTTGTTTGACCCTGCGTGCCTGCGGAAGCCTCCTGAGATCTTGGGGCACCTCCACGGACCTCCAAGGGTCAGGACCAGGGGCGGGAGTAAAACTCACCACCTCTGATTGGAGAAGGTCCCCCTGCTTTCGCTAATCATCCTCCTCCACCCTCCTCCCCCCCTCCTCGACCCAGGATTTGCGAGCCGCTGTCATTCGAGCAGCAGTCCACGTCGGGAGTCACGTGCTCCAGGGCAGCCCAACGCCCTTGGCACTCGAGCGCTCCTCCTCCCCCTCCTCCTCCCCCTCCTCCGCCTCCTCCTCCTCATCATCATCCTCCTCCTCATCCTCCTCCTCCTCCTCCTCGTCCTCCTCCTCCCCCTCCTCCTCCTCCTCGCATTTTTCCTTCCTTCCTTCCTATCTTCTTTCGCGCTCTTCAAGCGGCCCCACGCCCGCGGGCCAGGCGCCCCCGCTGCAGGGCCACACGGCAGGGAGACCTGCTGATTGCCTGCGGTTCGCTAGCTGCCGCCTGCAATCATGTTCTCTCCACGGCCGAGGGCCAAGGCGCGGGCTGCCCGACCTGCGGGTGGCCTGACGCCCGGGCTCCCCGGAGAGGTGGCCGCCCACGACGGCCCTCCGCAGAGACGCCGTCGCGGAAGCTAGGTCTGCCAGGCCGGCGGCCCGTTCGCACGACGCCGCCGGCTTGGCCATTGTTGTGTTTCGGCAGTGCCCCAGCCCAGAGGACCAGATGGGAGGGGTGGGGAGCAGGCCACAGGCGCGGGGGGAACGGCAGGGGACCCAGGACAGGCCAAAACGGAAACCTAAAGGGGAGGCCCAAGACACAGCGGAGGGGCAGGGGGCAGGCCAGGGCGGGGCAAGGCACAGGGCACCAGCACAGGCCAAGACGGAGGGGGGGCCAACAAACGCCAGGCGCAAACGTACTTCAAGGACGCCTTAAGGTACGTATGCAGAACACGGGCCAGAGGGGGAACCAGGGACAAGAATGCGGGCACCACATGTAGACATTTTACCACCGGCCCCCAATATGACAACATGCTGCGACCAGCTCCCGCACTCCTGGATTGAATGCACTGTCAGCATTTATTCGTGTTGCTTTCTTTTGCTACCGCCTTTGCTGCCAACGCCTGCTGGCCAGATGTGGCCGGCGATCGGTCGTCTCGTCCCCCACGCTGCTGGTCTCCTCCACCGCGCAGGCGCGCAGAGTGGCTCCTCTGGCCAACAGACTCGGGAAGCTCGAGATGGGAGATCGGGGAGAGGGCAGACGAGGCCAAGACCGCCCGCCCGCGACGGCCCGCCCAGGGCATGACCTTGCACAACGCGTTGGCCTGGCCCCCCGCGCATGAATTTGGAAGAGAAATGCGCGAGGCGGCGCAGCACGGCCACGGATGTCCGTCGCAAGGCGCAGGGAAGCCGCGCCGCCAGGTTCGCCGGACGACGGCGGCCCCCTACTGCCCTGGCGGGGCCACTTGCCTCCGAGCCTCTCCTCCTGCGGGAGGGTACAGCCTCCCAGGAGGGTCGAGGCTCGGCCAACAACAGCGCCAACACTGGCCAGGTCCGAGCCTACAGCCCGTCGCGGCCCCTGGCCAAGTGCACCTGGACCCCCCTTGGGGCCGGGGTGCCTGCGCGGGGCCACCCTGCCGTGCGTCTCTGGGGCCAGTCTCGCCAATAGGCGCCTGGTCACACCCACAGCACGCCGCCTCTTCAGGACGGCCTGGGCAACGCGCGCCCCAGCGGGCGGCCAACGCCGACGCCGGCTGGCCAAGTGAATCGCTTGTGCACCTTCTGTTCAGCAAGGTGCTCGCACGCCTGCCCCAGCTGGAGGGCGGCCCTCTCCTGTGGGGGGCCGACTGGCCGTCCCCTACCCCTAGGCTTGGCCAAGGACCTTGCCGGTGGGCTCACCCCTCACCGGCTTCCCCTCTGGCGCGGCCCGCGCCCGCTGCCCAAGACCCACGCGGCGCGGATGCTGGGGCTGGCGCCGGCTCTTGCCGTGCTCCCTCCCCGCCGGGCGGGGCTCCAGCACAGGGGGGCCGCTCCTCGAGCTGGGTCTCGCGCTGCGGGTCCCGGTGGTCTGCGTCTCGCGGGAGGGGTGCAGCGCTTCCGCCGGGGGCGTGCTCACACTGTGGCCGGTGGGCCGCCTCCGCACGGCAGGGGTACGCATATGGGGTATGCGGCGCTGCGCCGACGGGGCTGCGGGCGCCCCAGACACGTTGACATGTTCACTGAAATCTCACAAGCACCAAGAGGCCTCCAGAGTGCTGCCAGGAGAACCCAGAGAGGCCCAAGAGCAGAGCCGCGATTTCGCCAACCGCCCCTGACGAAATCCCAAGAAGCTGAAGCCCGAAGCTTCCCCAGAAATCGCTCCGCGAACTCCGCTTGTCATTCTCACTGCCGCCCCAAGGGGTCGGCGGTGCGGCGTCAGCCAATGAATCCGCCGACCCCTTGTGGGTCTCTAGGCGTGTGAGATAGTTCCCCCCCCCTAACCCCCCCCTGGGACCCCAAACCGGAGATTTGACCCCCCCCCCCCCCGGGCCCAGTACGAGCGCGTCACGGGGCTCTTTTGGGCCCAAAAGGGGATCAAGACGGGCCAAGAAGGCCCCAAGACTCCTCCAAGACGGCTCACGAGGGCTCCGAGGCGCCAAACGAGCGTTCCCAGACGCCCAAGATGCCCCCAAGACGAGCCTAGAGGCCTCCAAGACGGCCCAAGAGGCCCCCAAGAGCAGTCCTCAGAAGGGCCGAAGCGCCGAAAATCGTCAAATTCCTATGGGAAAACGTACATTTTGATCATATACTACTTGTCGGCCTTCACGGCGTTGACGACGGTCCCAGAGCACCCCAAGACCGCCCCGAGAGGCCCCCAAGAGGCGCCCAAGTCGGCCCAAGAGGGCGCCAAGACGGCCCAAGAGGCCCCCAAGACAGCCCAAGAGGGCCCCAAGACGGCCCCAAGAGGTGCCCAAGAGGGGGAGCCCGAACCGACAATCCGAGCCTTCCGCCCCGAGACGGCCCCAGAAGGCCCCAAGAGGCCCCAAGAGGCCCCCAAGACGCCCACAAGAGGCCCCAAGAGGCCCCCAAGAGGCTCCAAAACGGCCTCACAACGGCCCCCAAGAGGCTTCGAAACTGCCTCCAAGAGTCCCGCGAGAAGCCCCCCAAGAGATCCCAACGATCACCGCACAAGTCTCATATCAACAACCCAAGCACGGTGGCGGGGTTGCGTTTGCGCACACAAAAGGATTCGCGCTCTCGAGGCCAAAATTGCTCCACAACGGCCCAGGATGGCTCCAAAACGGCCCGAAATGGCTCCAAGACGGCCCAAGACAGTTCGAAGACGGCCCAAGATGGCCTCAAGATGGCCTAAAAGGCTTTCGCTATCGCCCACGAAGTCTCCAAGAAGACCCCCAAGACATCTGAAAGAGGCGCACATTACGCATTTCATTACATGTCCATTGCGTTGTTGAACATGTGTGCACTTGTTACCTTTCCCGGCTTCCGTCGGCCCACGTAGCCCCAAGAGCCTCCAAGATCGCCCCACGGCGCCCCAAGAGGGCCTCAACACGGCCCCAGAGAATCCGAACACGGCCGCGGACGCCTCCCAATTCGGCCTAAGACGACCCCAAGACGGCAAAACCTGCCTCCAAATTGGTCCCAACCTGGTGCAAGACGCCTCTGACCCAAAACCCATAACCCAGAGCCTTGTTTTTGTGTCCCCTTCCTCCTTCTCCTCCTCCTCCTCCTCCTCCTCCTCCTCCTCCACCTCGGCCGCCAGGTGGGTTCAAAACTGTTTTCCAGAGGTCCCCGAGAAGCGTGCCGCGAGATCCCTATACACATACAGAAGCCTGTAACCCATAGCACATATCCCAGAGTTTCGTCTCTGTGTCCCCGTCCTCCTCCCCCTCTCCTCCTCCTCTTCCACCTCCTCCTCGCCCACTCCTCCTCTTCCTTCCCCGCCTCATCCTCTTCCTCCCCGATTCTTCTCCCCCCCATCCTCCGCTTCACCCCCCATCCCTCTCTCCCCCTCCCCCCTGTCCTCCCCCGCACGCGCGCCCCCGATTGGGCATCATTTGCAGGTCTTGCATATCAGGGTGCCCTTTTTTTTGCATCGCGCTCGACGTTGGAGGGGCCCCCGGAGAACGCCGACTTCGGTCGGTAGTCTTCTCTTGCACGCGCCGCCGCGCTGATACGCCTGGCAACTGCGGGCTGTGAACCCGAGGTTCTTGCAGCCTCCGCACACCATGTTCGCTCCTGTCGCCGCTCGATGATCTTCCACTTGTTTATGCTTCAAATGTTTCGTGTTCGAGAACGCTTCTCCGCACGCCGCACACGTCAGTGGCTTCGCGTCTGCCTCGGCTTTCCGCTTGCGATTCGCTGCCTCCGCATTCCCCCGTCGCACCTGTTTCTCTCGTTCTTCCGCGCATTTCCGACAGAGCCTTTCCCCCGCAGCATTGTGCTTCTTCTGAGCTTCCGACATATCCGCCTTTTCGTCATATAGCGACAGGCACTTACCGTTCGCACATCGCACTGTTCCGACGCTCTGATTCCACTTCGCGCTGTCTTTCCGCGAGTTCTGTTTGGCTTTGATACCGCTGCACTTCGCGCAGTAAATGCCACCATGGCGCTGCCATGGTGGCATGTACATGCCACCGCGGAGGCCCGCAGTCAGGTAAAACATAGAATCCCTTGAGACAGTGATGGCGACAACGACGACAATGATTATGACGAGGATGATACCGATGATGATGATGATGATGTTTAGCATATGATGATGATGATGATGATGATGATGATGATGATGATGATGATGATGATGATGATGATGATGATGGTGACGGTAATGATGATGATGGTGGCGATGGCCTCGGGCTCGTAACGTGCCTGGACCTAGCAATGCGAAACAAACCGCGAACACCTTCTCGGTTCCCAAGCGTGTGAGACTCGTCCCCTCCACAGCCCCGAGGTTCCCCGTGCGGGCTCAGGGATGCCCCAAAAAACAACCCCGCCTCTCCAAAGAAGTCAGACCCAGCAAGAAATATACGGGCCCCACTCCAACGCTTCCACCCTTTGGGCATCTCCAGAACGATGCCAAGATTGCATTAGCGTCCGTTCTTTTCCGATGGGCCCCCCAGGGCCTCGAGATGACCCCAAGCGGATTCCACATGGCCCCAAGAGAGGTCATTATGGACCCCTACACGACTCCCCAGCCCGATTCAAGCCAGCCGGCAAGACCGCCAAGATGAGGGGTCGGCGGATGTGGCGTAAGCCTATAGATCTCACAAGCCACAAACTGTCACGGACTGAAAGGCTAGAAGTGCTCGTGCAAACTAGGTATCCGATAGCGCATGGATGTACACGTAAGCCGTGGCAGTATGCAACGTGTCGTCCAGGAGCGGCTCGCCGCCGGTGCCCTGGAGGATCTCAATGCTGCAAGGGACCCAGGTGCCCGAGGGCGTTATGGGCCTAAGGCTCCTTTCCCCCCTGCGCGCTTCAAGCTCTACGGGCAGGAACTCTCGCTCAGCGTGTCGCGGCGGAGGCCCCGGCGACACGCTGAGCCTTGCAAGCGGATAGCGAGTCGCTCCGCTCCACAAGGCGGGAGGCTCCTGGAAGCTCGGAACGCTGGCGAGTGCAAACGGGGACGTGGGCCGCGCGTCGCGCCGAAGCGTGGTGGGCCAGAACTGGCGGAGCGACGCGCTGTCACAAAGTTCCCGACCGAAATGCTCCACCACCCACCTGCTCGCGGCACGGACTGCGTCAGAGCTCACGGGGTCGCCCGCAGGGTCTGGTGATCCAAGGGCCCCTCGAGCGCTCCAAGGGCACCCACATGATTCAGCGCTAGCAGCTGAAGGACGTCCAGAAGGACTGCCCGTTCATCCCAGCTGCCGCGGAGCGATCGTCTGACTGCCGTAGCGCCGACACGACCCGACAACTCCGCACTCCCACGCATCTCAGACTGGAGACGACCCAGCCGCTGCTGCTGCTGCTGCTGCTGCTGCTGCTGCTGCTGCTGCTGCTGCTGCTGCTGCTTCACTCTGCCCTCGAGCCTCGAGGATCGACTCGGAAAACCTTTGCGCGTTTCCTGCACATCTTTTAAGCGCAGTTTAAGAGAAGGAAGGACACAGAGGGGACGAAAGCGGACAGGCCACCAGTGAGTCGACCAAGCGTGTGTCGCAACTCGAGCGGATGCAGCGAACTAGCTAAGCAATTGGCTGGGCAAGGAATTCTGAAACGTTGCTGTTTTTCGGTGGGCTTCCAGGGGGGCTCAAGAGGCCTCCAGTGTCCTCGGAAGGTCAGGGTCTTGGACGGGACAAGCTTGCCAACTGCTGATCCTCCTCCTCCACCCTTATCCTCACATTCCTCCCGAGCAGGTCAGTCAGTCAGCCAGACAGCTACGCCAGTTATCTGTCGATGTTTGGCGTGGCCACACATCCTCAGCACGACGAAGCAGCGGCAAGTGGATGGGGGACAGCGGGGCAGTAAGATATGAACGAGAGGAACGAGATGGCGCACCGAGACTACTCCTTCTCCCTCCCCCATCTTCCTCCTCCGCCTTCTCTTCGGCATTCTTATCACCCGCTCCTCCTGCTCCTCCTCCTCCTCCTGCTCCACCTCCTTCTCCTTCTCCTCCTCCTCCTGCCTCACCCTCACCCTCCTTCCACCCCTTTCCCATCCCCCTCCTCCCCCTCCCTATCCTCGTCCTCTTCCTTCTTCCGATCTCGACCGATAGGCCGACCGACGATCCACGATCCATGGCCTGCGAATGACCGTCGCCTGAGGCTTGCGCCTTGCCGATGGTGGATGTGCGGTGGGCGGAGCAACCTGCGGTCGGGGTGCGCACAACGTCCTCATCCTCGTCCTCCTCCTGCTGCTGCTGCGCCCGCGCGTTGGGCGCCTCTAGATACCCTGCTGCTCAATATTAATCAAACTGCGCTCCCGGAGGTGCCTGGCGGCTTTGAGTCTGGCGAGGCCGCGAGTGTCTGTGAGTGTCCGGAAAGGGAAGGCGCAAGCGTGGATGGATAGATGGCAAGGGGCGGACAGGGCAAGGGAAGCGAGATGGAGGGGGGGGGGAGGGGAGGAGGGAAATAAGTGGAGGACATGGTCCCAAGAGGCGGCAGGGATGAGGACGGGGCGGGGTGGAAGGGCAAGGGACATGAGGAGGGGGGGGGGCCAAGGGTCAGGAGGGGTAAGGGATGAAGATGGGACGCAGCGGGGAAAAGCCCTAGGGTAGGCCTAGGGGGAGACGCACGGCTGGGCCTACCGTAAGCCTCGTGGAACGGCCCAGGGGAAGGTAGGCCTATAGGGAAGGACTCGGGGGCAGGCCTAAGGTACGCCGCCCCTCAAGGTTCCAAAAGAAAGGGCGACAAACCCAAAATGGGCAGCTCCCCAGAAACGCGACCTCCCGCATGACTCCGTCAGGCGCGCGCCTCCACGGCAGCTCCCGGGAGCCCGCCAAAGAGAAGCCGATGCCGAGGACGCCCAGGGTACCCTGTGCGCGCCTCGCGCCCTCTGCTCGCATGCGACGGTGAAGGAACGCGCGGGGCTGGGCAGGGGCAGGACGCGCAGGGTGCCCTGCTGCGCGGAGGCAGCCCCGAGCCCACACGGCGTCGGTTCCCAGGGGGGCGCGGCCGCACGCAGAGGGGGCACCGCAGAGCACCCGGCGCCGAGGCGCCAGGGACGCGGCCCTCCAGGGGCGCGGCGCTGGGGGTCACAGTCCTGCTTTGACGTCGGGCATGTCCTCCTACAGGCGGATCTTGGACGAAAAATCAAGAACACCCCAAAAATAATCATAAATAGCCCAAAAGTACTCGAAACATCGTCTCGAGACTATTTTTGATTACTGTCTTTGAATACTCCTCCTGTAGAGGGACAAGCCCGAATTAATCTCGGCGGTGGACGAACCTCCCTTTAGCAAACCTCCCTTGAGTGAAAACGGCCTAGGACCGAAACCGACGGACCTGGACCCGCAAAGATGACGGCCGCGACGCCCCCTCGCGAATCGAAAACGGCCACTTCGCTAATCGACGCGTCAGGGTAGGAGGTCTACCAACCTCCGATAATCCCACTCCGAACCCCACCCTCCCCCTCAGAAATCGTGGGGGGTAGGGGTAGGGTTCGCATGTGGCCCCCTAAGAAAACAGGCGACACCACCCCACCTGCGGCACCCAGGGGGCCTCAGCGTACACTGGGAAATCTGGCGGGGGTTTTCGCGTGGCATGCGCTGCGGCGCCCGATGGGCCGTGGCGCAGCATGGAGGGCCGCAGGTGGGGTGGTGTCGTTTGGCTTTCGGTCGAGATCGGGGAAACGGAAGGCTCGGGTTAGGGATCTCGGTTTGGCCCAACTGAGCCATCATGGAAATGACGCGACCCGGTCTGAAATCTGACGCGAGCTCCCGTTGCAAAAATCCCACCAAGACTGGGCCGTCGAAATCCGAAGTGCGCTCGTCGAAAAGCGTCGGCAAACCCGAGTTCCGGCGTGCTCGAGTCTTACGTTTTCCCGACACCAGAGAACATTTGAGGCGTTCCAGACAGGGCCCTGCATTCGAGGATCGAAGGAATTGTCACCTCTTCCTCGGCGGAAGG